CCCTTGTTCACAAGCTCTAGTATCGCAAATTCCCCCAGTGCACGGGGCGAAGAGTCGAAGCTCCCAGCCCACCGGACATATACGACAGAAACACGGAGAACGTTGCCAGGTTTACATCCGACTACACTTCCGACAAACCACGAACATAGACGCGGGCACGGTGACGCGCGGTAGCGCGGCGCACGTGGGTATTGCCTGACTGCGCATGTATACCTGCTACACGCCTCGTATAGCTGTCTCTGTTGACACACCGCGGCTCCACTTCGTCGCGTGTGTTGCGTCTCTGTTTTTGCGGGCAGCGAAGCGTGGACTGATGGCGCCCTTGGTGTTCTCAGAAGCCGACGCGCTACACGTGTCCGCGATTAAGCATTATGGTCTTGTTGCGCTCTTCTTTCTAACGGCAGGTTCACACATTTGTGTTTGACTGTGCCATATAGACCCGTAACTCTATAAATATTTATGGCCCGCGTTTCGAACGTGCGTCATTACGCTTCCCCACTACAGTTGATTATACTCCGTTCCATTATAAGTGTCGGCGTAGCAAAGACTATACAAGAGCCAGCTCCGAGCTCCCAGCGTCCCTGCCAATCACTCGCGTTCGCGCGGTGCGAATATCGTTCGGGAGAACATGCATTTGAAAGTATATTCGGCTTCGCTATAACGTAAGGTGAAGCATACGTGCTCATGGAGGCTATAAAAGAGAGCAGAAGAAATAATAAAGCTGAAAGGAATGTTTGATGGGATGCTAAAACCGCGAGTTGCCCACTTTTTTTTTAGCTTTTAATTATCGCGCATCTAGATATGGTGACAGATGCTCGTATTCAAACGTGTCACTTGCGTAATAGTAGGACATTAGAGCGCCGCTTTTACTGTCGTATCGCGTGAATCAATACAACCTAGAAGAGAAGGCGTGCGCGTTTCCTCCTCTAAACGTCACCACTAGTAGATCCCCTTAGCACCCCCTAGCTAGCCCGGATGAACACCATCGTCTGCTACATCGTCTGCGACATTCTCTGCTCCCTCGCCTGCTTCAGTGGTTTGTGTAGCAGATAATCCCTTAGTCACCCAACCTTTATCACTATGACACAACGGTCCGCTGTAGCTTTTCCTTTATCGTGAATGCATACCTACGTCCTAGCCGAGCTTTGTTTTCGGGTCTCTCGAGGTGTGGGCCGAAGCCGAACACCAGCGCGAGCTTCTTGACATTCAGTCAAAATCGCGCACGTCCGCCGAGAGCGATGTCTTGGCGCGAACCGAGGGTTTCCCTGGTAGAGAGCGTTGTCGTAAACAGGCCCTTGTATTTCCCTGTCTTGTGCGGCGCTCGCAAGCGCGCCCTCGCATAGCGAGGCGAAACCTACGATGTTGGGTTTTTTATCGCCCCTGCCGACAATGTCACGTTGGCTGCGGGGCGCCTCGGAACCCGCGGGGTATTAGTTGTGTCTGCTAACACGCTGAGACCTGTGTAGTGTCACGTACGATCTTGCGAAATTTTGAGCTGGGCGTTTCGGCGGTACGTTAAGCATTACCAAATGAAGTTGAAGGCCACCTGTGACTCGGTATAGAATCCCGATAGCCGCACTACGATCACGGAAGTCTATACTAAATTAGGATGTGAATATAATTTGATTTAAAGTTTGAATATAACTAGAATGTGTGCTTAGAAAGGGTAAGAAGAAGTTCAGTGCGGTTTGTTATTGTGAGCTTTAGTTTGGCTAAACAGGCTGCCCAACCATGACCTAGAGCTTCTGACTAATCGTTCGGCAGCACGCAGTGCTCAAACGTGCCCCTTCTTATGCACGAGGCAAGCTCACGACAAAACAACCGACGCGGTGTACAGCTCGTCGAGTGTTTGATCGACCATGTGCCCCAAGAACCCCGAGACTGCACTGCTCCCGCGAAGTCGGACCAGTGTATCAGACTGCTCCTCATTTGGAGGCGGTGTTCTTCGTTTCGTGCTTTATTTCACTTTAGAATCGCGCGATTGCGAGGCGATATTGTCAGACGAAAAAACATGACCATAATGATCTCCGCCGGCCAGATTTCCGAAGTTGTTCGTTGGTCATAGTCTGCCAATGTTGAATGTCGCATCAAGACTATCATGTTTCGATAGGTCTTTTTTAGACATGAGTGGCACCCGCTTGGGCGTTCATCCCCATTCTTTAAAAAGGTAGGGCCTTATTGGCCGACCCACGCCTTCATTCACATTCCGAAGGCCTCAGCATTCTCGCATTGCCAAAAGAGCTACACATACAGCCTGTCTTAAATGGATGGTCTTCATCGAGATGGCTGGATAGCTTCCTACGAAAGGAAACAAGTGAGGAGTATTTTAGGGCAAAATGAGCTGATACCGCGACGAAGATGGCTGGATAATTTATACCGTGATCCAGATCTTGGCAATCATTAAATATAGCACCGCATAATAAACCGTGTTGGTGTGAGGATTGAAAATGATTTCCGTGAAGGAGAACGCACCTCCTACATAAGCCAACTGTGTATTTCTCTGCAAGCTCATGAGTCAACAAAATGGAGATATCGTGAATATGTAAACCGAAATGGGGGGCAATACACCCTGCACGCGGGGAGTGTAGCGTTCGTTGCTGGAGCAGCGATTTGAGAAATTAATCCGAAACCCGGAATTTATTTTCTATCATCGGAAATAAATGATTTTAGCTTTATTTTTTTGCGAGCCGACTTCGTAGTCCGGCTGTATCACTGGAAACCTTCTGTATATTATCGGTGACCGTCATTAAATGATTGGACACTTTTAGATAAAAGCTGTGGTTGGGTGTCGGGGCGCTTCATTACGAAGACCATCATCTGTAGCTGCTCTCAACGCTATTAGAGTTTACGAGTTCTGCGGACTGAGTATAAGCCTATACGAGACTAGTCTGAGCTCATATTCGTAAAAAACACGAAAGGCTTTATAACTTAAACTCCTACTCCCAGAAATATGTCCGTCGGTCCGTCCATCCAAGTATTCACGCGTCCGAGCATACACCATGGCTGGGCATGTCAGCACAACCGATTTGGTTACCATAGCATCATAAGCAAGACCATGTACACAGGCAGTTATTCAAAATTAAACAAATGTATACTTATTGCCAACCTGGAATCAAACGCAGAACCTCTCTCGGTTCGTGGCCCGATGCTCTATATCTGTGTCGGCTGAGCGGCTTGCTACGTGCACCGGCAACGGTGTCAGCTATCGACGCTTTGCAGCAGCTGTGCATGGACGCCGCCATAACTGACCTTCAGTTTTTGTTTCTTCTTATTCCGTTTATTTCACTTCATCATTACCATAGCAGGCCAGGTTATTGCCATATTAGATTCAACTGTGTCCTTTTCTAAAGCATCGGCCTTTGTAGGGGATCGTCAACTACCGTTTCAGTTGCTCGGCATCTCGGTAAGACTGGAGAAGGTCAGCAATGGCTGCTGTAATTTGGCGCGTGTGTAAAGCGTCTATACTCCGTTTCACTTTATGTTGTACCGCAGCGAAGGCTAGAAGCGCGAGCTCATAGCGTCGGCAGCTGCCTTTAATGCACGAGAGCTTGTGCCGCCGAGATGCGCCCTAGACTAAGGAGCTCGCGCTTGTAGCCTTTCCTGCGGTACATGATAAGGTGAAATAGCGTATAAAAGCAACCAGACTCCTACATGACTATACTGTCCGTGTTGCATGGCGATATAGAGTAGCGCCATATCAATTAATAAATCATGTTTTCTCCACTCCTCCAAACAAACTTCAATGCCTTCTAAAAAAAAAAAAAAAAATCCAATCTATTAAACACTGCGTTCTATGCATTAGAGGACTTGAAGATAAAGATCGCTGGCAGTTCTTGCATTGCATTCCACGCTTGCTTCAATGCAGTCTGTTTAGGCACCATGGCTGAAGCAAAACCCACAAAATTGTCGTGAATCATGACATTAAGTTGAATTTCAAGGTGTTATAAGAATATCGTATGTATTTATGTTTATGTGTGTACATTCCCATTCTTCAGTGGAACAAACACCGAAAGTTAATCATGCACGATGGCTGTAATGTTTTGTCCTACATCTTTTGCTTCACGAATCGTTCTTGAACTACCTACGATGGGGTTTGAATGCACTAAAAAGTTACTCATTAAGAATCCCATTAAAATATTCCCGTGGAATCGTAGGATTCCGTCGCTTTCTCACTGACAAACCAGCGTATCTACTGCGTGACAAAAAAAATCTAATATAGCGAATAACAGCAACAGTGGCATGTCGTTCATGTGTCGTTTTGGAGCGAGGAATAATGCAAGCTCGGAGCGCCGCTCTCATTCGCGGCCTAGAATATTTAGAGACGGCGGGTCACTCCTCGCTTGGATCAAGACTTTGCTCATTTGCGAGGCAATCCAGTTGCTGCGTTAGGAATTTAAAATGAGTTGGAGAGAAGGATGACCTGTTGGGGATTGAGGTCCTGTAGCTGCCGCAGCCACCCTGAAAGGCCTTCATTTATTTACGAATTCATCTATACAGCATGCTAAATTATTCGCAAGCAAGGATTAATGCTAAATCTAGAAAACGCGGAGACAATAAAGTTTATAAATTCAGGTGATCTTTTTCTCTTTTTTTTTTAAGTTTGATTTTAAACATATGTAATAGCAGATGACGTGACAAGGGCATAACGTCCGCGAACTCTGTCAACGCATAATGCATTAGTGAGATATCTTAAAATGTTAAGATAAGTATAATTTGGAAGTATTTAGTTATTATCTTTTTTTTTGTTTTGAAACTCAGACATTTTAAGACATATTGGCAGAAATACCACTAAAATCACCATTATTCTGAGGATAATTCAAATGGGTAACTCATTCAGTTGCTTAAACTGACTGAAATATCTGCGTTATAAATGAATACACTCACAGTTCGAGAAAAAAAAAATCACAAATGCCATTCACGTTTGGAAACGTGTGAGAACACTGCAAAACAAATGGTTAACTTTATAGACGAACTAAAGAATTCCTGGAGTCGGTAGAGTTTCAACGCCCCCAGTACGAGCATCGGTTCCTAGGCGCCATCTTTTTTCCCGGTCTGCACCGGAAGGCCTTCTGAAACCTGGCGTAGTTGGCCAGAGCACTGTTCACGCGCAACCTCGCAGGCAGGGCATGTCTGTACTTGAGCTGCACCTTCTCGATTCCTGGTCTCTCGCAATGGGCCATCGCGTAGGCATAGAAAAAAACCTTGTCGTTCTTCAGCATGTCGTCTTTTTGTCCCAGACCATCCGGATAGCGCCTGAGAACATTTTTTCTATAAATATTGTATACGTGCTCCACGATAGCGTTTTCTGCTATGAACTGGTTCAGGAAGTCCCGACCATTACCTTCCGAAGAAATGTCCCTCACCGCTCTTTCCAGTTGCTGCTTGAAGCAGGCGGATTTGTTCTTGAACGTCATCCGGTCGTAGCTGCTCCACCATGACTTGGGCTCACCGTTGTCAGACGACAACACCGAACCACGAGCGTCGATGGCCGCCATCATACCAAGCATCATTTTTGCCCCGATGATGGCCAGAAAGATTGGATGCAAAGTCTCTGACATAAGTACGGGCAAGGTGACAAGAGCGTGTGGCACGTAGATGGAATTGGTGTCACGGTTGTAGTCAACCGACGTCGAAAATACAGACGCCCTATTCACAAAATCGGAGTTGTTCGTTTGATTAAACTCTCGGCTGACAGCGTCTTTGACCAGGAGCTTGAAATCACGCAGGTTTAGAAACTCGGGTGTGTCTTGGGCGTACGAGGAAGGAGACGACGCCTTGGCTCCCAGGTAGACAAGCTTCATGGTTCGCAGCTTGCGTAATGCGCTGTTTACGGTCTCGCTACTAAACCATTTGCGTGCGGCGTGTAAAAGGGCCAGTTTGAGGTCTTCAAAAAGTGTGGCGATCTCGTACTCAAAAGGTATTCTCCAGACGCCCAAGTTTCCACCGAGCGCTTCGGTGCTCAAAATACGCATGCCGTGCTTGTACATGTTTTCTACCATGTGTAAGCAACCCTGAACCCTTGGTGGTACCTCGCTCACATGCCTATCGTAACTGAGTGGAATGAGTGTGGATATGTTGAGAAACGGCGAGTATTCCACAAGAGCCCTAAAGTAAAAGTAATCGGCAACATCTTCGGGTGTGCACAAGTGCTTGAGGATGTCCAACAGCTGGGAGACGTATTTTTTGTCAAGAATGCGCACGTTCAACCTGCTCTCAAAAGAAGCTGGAAACAACTGGGTTAACCAGCGTATCGTCGCGTTTCCCAGATGAGCCATGCGAGCGGGAGTCAAGGTCCACTCCGCTGTCCATGGAGATGTCCCGGACACGATGTTGCACAGCCTCCGCTCGATGTGCACGATCTTACTTGCGACCAGTGCCGGATCGTCCAAGTCGGTCAGTACGTCCTCTACGAGCCTCTGATAATCGCGTTCGGTACGTTCAGGGTGGCGCAAAAAGAACCTTTTCAGTAGAAGCTGGGGCGAATCGACGCAGGGGACGTACCCATTCGCACCGCTAGAAGGTGCCATGTACACGTTCGCGAGCGGATGCATCTTGACGCCCTCGAGATACTCGCTCTGAAGGCGCTGAAGTTGCGGCATCATTTCTTGCAACACAACCCGGAAGACGACTTCCGGCGGTTTGGTCGTCGACGGCTTCCGAAGTCTCACCAGCAGTTTGTCCCTCACAGCCTTTGAACCGTTCGAGGACCGGCAAGCGTCGTAAAGAAAAGCAGAGTTGCGAATCCAGCGTAACACACTTTGCCTACCCATGCGCAAGTTCAAGTTCAGAGAGCTCATGAGTTTTTCCAGGCTCTCCATCTCAAACGTTGGATTAAGATGGCGGGAGAACCACTTGGCGCTGCATACGTGATTGTAGAAATCGTCACATGGCTCCACGTTTGTGTCAATTTTTGTCTCCATGTGGTGCACGTACCAGAGGCACTCCGGCTCCTTGCAGCCCTTATCGGAGCCCTGGTGAGAGGATCGTTGGTGGTTTCCAAGCAAGTTTGCTTTCGCGGCAGGCCCGGTGGTTGAATTTTCGGCTTGGTCGCTCTCGTACTCCCAGACTCGTGTCGGAGACACTCTCAGGTAAGGAGGGTTGCCGGCTGCGTTCAGCCTCTCACTAATTTCCTGAGGGTACGGCTCAGCACTGTCACTCGAGCTGGGCCTCGGTTCCATGTGATGCGCGTCCCGGTGTAGGTATGAGTTGATGAGACCGCCGTTGATCATGGCGAGTGCGATTACAGCGACTCCCAAGACGCCCTGAATGATGGGGCGGACGTAACGGCAGCCTCGGTCCATGGACGCCGCCAGCTCCGGGTCACCTGGCCCGCCTGGCGCCGCCTTCGCCGCGTCGATGGGGACGCCGAATTGATGGAAAGGACCCGGAGGCCATGACAGTAAGTGCGCCTCCTTCTTCTTCTTCTTCTTTGGCCATTGATTCCTGCGTTCGGGACAATCTTCATAGAGAGAGAGAGAGAAAGAGAAGGCCCGGGGGGGGGGGGGGGGGTCGGTGCAGAGTGCAGTAGCAAATACTTTACTACACTCCGTTCGTTCTTAGACTGCAGTTTATACCACAGGGACGAGATCACGAGGTCGCTGCTTTGAAACGTTCTCCTGCAGACCGAGAACTCGAGCTAAAAATACCATAGAGTGTGGAAATACCACAGGCACGAGATCACGAAGGCGATGCTTTAAAACGTTCTCCTGCAGACCAAGCACTCGCGCTAGCGCAGCTTGAAGCTTTGGCTGCAGTCTCAGCATAAAGCTGCATTAAAGACGTCTCTGAGATCGTCTGTTCTTGGTTATAACTCATTCTACGGGATCTTAGCATCCCAGAAATTGAAGAAGTTTGTGCCACGCCCCTTTCTGAGCGGAAAAATCTGGGACACAGAATTCAGCGGAGGCTTCGGCGGCGGGACGACGGGCGCGCTTCAGCCAATCGCAAGCTGAGGCGCCGGCAGCGGAGGCGCCGGCGGCGCTTCCGCTGGATTCTGTGCTTCAGGTTTTTTCGCTCAGAGAGGGCCGTGGCACGAATTTTTAGCACAGTTTTAGTAAGGATAAAGACGTCGCACAAGCATATTTTTGGATTTCTAGGATGCTTGAAGCCGTTAAGATAAGTTATCGCCAAGAACAGACGATCTCAGAAACGTCTCTAGTGCACCTTTATTGGTGATATAGTAGCGACTCTAGCGAACTATACGCTCCGTGCGGGAACTATAGGGGGCGCTTTGAAAAACGCGCGTAGCGCCGCTAGCGGAGGAGCCGACGTTCGACCGTGAGGCGCGTTCAGCAGCCTGCGGAGCCTTCTCGCATGCGAAGCTGTGGCGGCGGAAGCGCGCACGGACAGAACTTTTGCTTTTTGATCCGATGCGTTGAGGGTGACGTTGCATGAGGGCTGGGAAGACCTGTTCTCCGCTTCATATATTGAGTTTGACTCGTAATAGGGGTCTTTTCTCTAGTTGCGGTCAAAAAGGGGGTTGGAGAAAATTTCCGAAAAGCAAGATTGCCGCCATTATAACTGCTCTCAGTGAAAAATTTGTTTGGCTCGTCGCTGTAAACAGAGGACTACTGGGAAGATGATATTTGGAGGCCAGTGAGATGTTCACAAAAGGAAAGTGTTGGGTCCTTACAGGTAGGAAGGGCCAGCGGACTGTACTTCCAATTGGAACAACTTTATGAAAGGTGGTTAAAGAGTCGAGAAAACAAAGTTGTCGGCCAACACACGGTTTGGCCGTCAAAGGCTTTTGCGGTCAGCTGTTGAATAATAACCTGGTTGTGCGAGTTGCCGATTTCCGGCATACAGGTACTTGAACATGACCGTAACTTGACACAACACTTATTATACCAAGAGAGGTAGCATAGGGAAATCAGGTGGAAATTTATTTTGGGCGGCGTAACTGAATGAGAACCGCTTCTGACCGTCAAAGGCTGTCAAGAGAATACCACTCAGGCACGTAGCCAGGGGGGGGGCATGGGGCCCTGCCTTCCCTTCCCCCCCCCCCCCCCCCCCCCGGGAATTTTCCAGGTTGCTGAGACCTCCTCTCCCTCCTTCCCCTCATACAGCATTTTGTCTAAAAGCTAGCTCAGTGCTGCGCCAAATACGTTGCTGCGCTGTGCCGCCATGATCTTCCCAAGGGTCGCACGTTCCACGTGCCTCGTGCGTCGACGCACTTTGCGCTACTTTTGAAACATGAAGGGGCTCTATTTAGGTGGAATCGGAGACGACACCGCTGCGGCCGCCGCGAACATCCACGTGCACATGCGCGTGGACTGATGCGGACCTCTACTCCGTCAGGGCTGGATTCTGCGCAGTAGGCGTTCTGTCAAATGCAAGTGAGCGGAGTGGAATGTATTCCCCCTAGTAAAGTATTTGCTAAAATTTTCATTCGCAGGGTGCAAAGATGTCGCCATGTCGTGGCAGTCTAAACAACTAACGACTCTTTTTTCCTTTTTTTTTTTGTTGCGCTGTGAAGGCTAGGGTAGTTTCCACGGTGTTCCAGCCCCTCACCGCTGCGAAGGCATGTGGCTTCGTCTCGCCATCACCCAATCCAACCTGCCAAGCAAAAAAAAAAAAAATAAGGCTTTGTTCCTTTCTTTTTTTCTTCACTATATGCATGGGTTTCTGCTGACGTTCGATCAAAATCCAAATGGAGACAGAGTTTTTGTTGCCATCGAAGGGGCGTTCTGGAAGAACTGCTACGGAACCCTTATTTATTTTCGCTTACTTTGAAAAAATTCGCGACGCAGCGACATAAACTGCTGACGACGAATACGTTCTCATTCTTGATACGTATCTCAATTGTTGTTGTTGTTGTTTTTCTTCCACCGCTTTTATGCTCGAGAGAAAACAGATTTCGGGTCGGTAACCGGACATGCCTCGGTCCTATTACGATGTTGACGTCGAGTTTGAATTGACTCAACAATGACCGTTTATATCCTAGATGTTTCTTTGTTGCCCCTGAAACGCTTCTCTAACAGCAACAATGAAAAATACTTACGGCGAAAAGACGGCACAGGCATCGCAAATCGATTCTGACGAAAATCTACTGGGAATCAATATACGACAAACCAGAAAAATGTAGACGAGTCAAGCTAGCGTGATGCAGCGACAAGATCGGTGACGAAAGACGGCGAGCGAGCGAGTCAATGTTACTCATGCTGAAACCCGAAACGAGTGGTGGCCCTCTTGTGTGTTGTGTGACGATATCTTGTCAAATTTAATCAGCAAAGAGGGGCACCGTGACCGTGACCATCTAAAGTTAGTAAGAACCAAGTCATATAAGGACCGACGAGAAGCAGCTTAATTAGTTCAGTTTATGAAGTGCTTTATTTATAGAAGGGGCAGTGTCCGTAATCCTTGAAGCTGAAGTCAGTAACAGCGCACGAATCGCAGGGCGCGTATTTAGTATATACACGTTCCTTAGTTCATGACGCGTCCTTTGACATTCTCATCGGTTAAAGCCGTACTCTCATTGGCTGCTGAACGAGAATAAGTGGCTCAGATTTCTCCACATCCTCCCTGCGTTGCTTAACTCTTTGTCAAAAAATTTGAAATCATTATTTTAAAAGAAAGATTATTGGGGTGGCTTTTTTTAAACTCCTGGACATTATCTCTAATTTTAGCCGGGCCGCGGGCGTCTGCGTATGAAAGGTTTTTCGTAAAACTCTGTCTAATGACCAGACTTCTAAAAAAAATTTAGTAAAGAAACAAAGAACGGTCTGGGAAGTTTGCCTAGTACTTTTTAAGGATTTTCACTCTAAATAGAGCAGGACGATCGAAGAGCAAAGGGACGGGTTAAGAGACGGGAGTTCTGGTTTTAATGAAGGTTGAAACAGTCCTTGCTTTAGGCGCTATTTAGAGACGGTAAAAAAAGTGACAGGCTTATCTCACCCTGACCTAGCCCAATATTATTCTCACATTTGAGTTTGTACCTCATAAAAGCATACTTGTACACCTGCTCTAGAAAAAAAAAAAAATACTTCGAGCAGATTAGTTTTTTTTTTATCTTCTAGTCAAATATTTTTAACCCTTAACAAAGTATGTAATTTTTTTTTTAATTTTCATAAAATACAATAAAAAACTTCTAACCCACTCAGGCGGCCTGATTTAGTGCATTTCAACAAAGTGCACTTCGCCTTTCGTGTCATTTCTGTAGTGTGTCACACGGCTTCTTTTTGAGGAACACACCTTTCTTCAAGTGAGTTTGACGAACTCACTTCACTCGATCGAGTGCGTGGCCTTGATAGTAGTTTTTCAACAGTAAAGCATAACACAAAAACCAAGAACGTGGCGTAAATTTTATGCTAAAAAGAATTGGAATTTCGTAAAAGGACAGAAAGAAGTGTCATTGCAAAAAAAAAAAATAATAATGGGGCGGACTTAGCCTTATAGTTTAGGCCAACATTTCTAGAGGGGGTCAGTTTGGAAACTCGTTTACTGGCGTGACACTATTTCGTAGAGCGCGCGAGAGGTGGCGCTGTAGTCGCCCTAAGATCGATTCTCGGGGCTGTCTCGTGCTTGCTGTTGTTCCTCGTGTTTTCGCTCGTGTCATCGTGTGCTCGTCATAGGCTCGCAAGTGTTCTTTTCCCCTCGAGCTTTGAGCCGTTGGCCAATCAATGAACAAGCTTGCATGCCGACATGCTCCGCTACCTGCTGTCGCGCGAATGCGCCTGACAACTGTCGAAACGTAAAAAGAAACGCCACTTCTTTATTGCTCTGAAGGATGCTGTGCACCTAAAAATATATAAAAAAAAAAAACTCGATCCCTCAAAAAAAAAAAAAAAATCACGTTTACATAAAAAAGTAAAAAAATAAAAATTATGTGCGCTTCACATTTTAGCTTGATGATATTTATCGTCATTATTCACACGTCATCGACGGGCAGACGGTTCTGATGGCCATAGTCGAATAGTAATTAAAAAAGGTGCTGTGCCACGTATCTTTCCGAATGTCTATTTTTTTTAAATCATATTTTTTAAATCATATCTTTAAAATCATATTTCGCTTTTTTTTTTTTTTTGAATCAGCCACGAAGAACAGCAAAGGAAAGCCCCCACCGATCGAGGCGTTGCTGAGGTTGCAGTGTATTGCCAACCCCTGATGCGGCAATTACATACGAACCCGAAGCAGACGACGATGACAGCAAACGAACAGACGAGCGCACCAACGTCTCCAATATCAGTTCCAGTATTTCAGGAACAGTCGCCAGTGAAAAAATTATAGCCTCAAAGGACACCCGAGGACCATATGATTTTCTACAAGCTTGTGGAGAAGCAATGCGCTGTTTCTGTCACATTCAAAACGGACCTCCCTCTGATTGTCAGCATAGGAGTAAAGTTGGTGCCAGAGGCAAGCTGTAGCAGTCAAAGTACTACTCAGCCACGACTATCAACCCTCAAAGAATTGAGAGTTCTCTTGGGCTATGTTAACTCGCTCAAAGT